AGTGACACTACAGGTAAATAAAGAGCATCAAAACCTGTGAAGAGTCAAAGTGAGTCAGACCTTCTTTGATCTTGTCATCCATGGGGAACGGGTCATCGGGCTGCATGTTGGCCGCCACCAAGATTTGTCTCGAGTCTTCCAACACCTTTAGAAACAAACACACAAACAAACAAAAAAGAATAGAGCTTTGTTTAAAACTCTACTTCAATGTTGGCGATCAAGACTGGAAAAAAAACCACAACATTAGACATGCTGTAGGTTTGAGAGCTGCTCTGAGCTAACGCTAATCAGCACCGTCGTGATGTTTTACTCCTCAGACATCAGCTCAGGTTACAGTCAGTCTGAAAGCACCTCGTCTCAAACACACAGAAGTGCTGACAACGCTCTCCAGCCTCTGAAGGTCGCCCGTGCCGGACGTCCTTGTGTAGCTCGCAGCTTATAGATCACTGCAGGAGGTGGAGGCGTACAGTAAATCAGAGGAACAGCCCTGAGCGGCACTTCAAGCATTAAATTAAAGAAAAACAAGCTGAGGAGGCCAGAGAGTTCAAACCTGGACTGTTCTCTGCTTGCCCGTCTGGAAACATGAATTCTGAACTCACGTCTGTTTTCAGCTTTCACACAGACGAGCGTGTGATGTTACTGAGCACACACACGCACACGCGCTGTACCTTGAAAAGCCCTTTGAGCATGATGTCTATGATCTTGTACTGCTGGTTGATGTCGTTCAGCTCGACGAGGTTCTTCAAAGCGTTCAGCTGGTCTTTCCTCTTGGTTTCAAACAGCCGCTTGTCTGACGAGAGCAGGTCAGGAGGAAACACACACACACAGACGCACACACGCCTCTTGATGGGACATGCATTACGCAGCAGCGCAGCAGTCTGCGCAGAAGGATACAGATCTCCAGGTTGGAGTCGTGTCGCGGTCTCTGGGTGTCTGCAGAGCTGAGGGCCGTGAGGGCCAGGATCACTGCGCCCACACTCCACATGGTCACCAGGGGGCAGCAGAGGCACTTCTAGGAGCCACTGGAAATTATGGCCTGAAAAATAAAGAGAAATATTTTAATGTTAAAGATCTTTAATCCTAAACAGGATCATTTTGACAATAAGTATTTAATTTGTCTCTTTTTTCTTTTGGTTCTTCAAGATATTTGATCTCATCCAGAATGTTCTTTAGTTCTTCTGAGCATGTCCTCACAGCTTGAATCACTGGCCGTGTGCTTTAAGGTGCAGACAGTAGTGAAAATACCAGGGGAGAAGATTAAAGGCTGCACTGTAAGTGTTATATAAGTGATGCTGGAGGCCACCACCTCTGTTTGATGTTTTTCCAGCTTGACCAAGATGGATTCCTTCACGCCTCGCTAAAAATCTGATTTGAGAGATGACTCTGCAGGGGTACGAGAGCCAGGAGATGATGTAGCAGTCCATTTCAATGTTGAGGATAAGGGAAGAGACTCTTTCAGGACAGCTATACTCTGATACTGGACTGGAACGAGCAGCGTTAAGGAGACGAGTAACAGAAGAACACCATACAACCGTGTTTATTATTGAGTGTTTTTATCATCCAAGCACAGATCTTTTCAGTAAACTTAGGTAAAATGTTCAAATGGTGATCAACCTTTTATTATCTTTATAATAATAATAATAATAATGTCATCACAATGTCAGCACTGTATGTTTCCATACAATGGCAAAATTAGTCTCTGCATTTAACCCATCCACCACCAGGTGGTGCAGTGGGCAGCTATTGAAGGTGCCCGGGGGGCATTTTGGGGATGAGGCGTGCTGCCCAGAGACGCCACGTGATGTGCAGTGACTGGGGATCGAACCTGGGACTTTTGGGTCCCAAGCCGGCTGCCCTGCCTCTACACCATCTCGGCCCCCATATCTTTATGCTCCAAGAATAACAATTTTAAAAAGCTGGTGGACTGTATACAAAGATGAATGACACAAAATACTTTAAGTTTGCTTAAAGTCCTGTGATTCTCGTGCTTCCAACAGGAGATCTGCACCTAGAGCAGATTTCAAAGCTTATCTTATAAAGTGTGTTTTCTTAAAATATGAAATGAAAGAAATGAGTCAGAAAACAGATGCTTTCTCTACTCTAGTATCAATTTTCCTGTATCCAGATCTACAAATTAACTGGTTAATTAATTGCTTAATTGGTTTCTCAGATCACACCATTGGTTGGCTTTCTATCTCTCAGATCGGAGGCGATGTGTTCAACATAATGGTACTTCTTCCTGTTATCTAACTGTTAATGATGTACCACAAGGCTCAGTCTTAGGACCCACCCTCTTTACAATCTACATAGTTAATGTAGGGCAGATCATCCCTGATGCATCCATACATTTCTATGCCGATGACACAGTTGTTTATTGTCGAGATAAAACAGTTGCTAAGGTTTTTTTTTTAACAATCTGCTTTGACATCATCCAGACTGATTTGTTCCACCTCAAACTTGTTCTAAATGCTGATAAAACCAAAGGGATGCTTTTTTTCAAACAGGAAGTCGGTTCCAGCAGTTCTTCCTCTGATTTTATCCTCAAATGGTGTCCCCATTGAGTTTGTTGATTCCTATAAATATTTGGGTATCTTGGTCGACTCATATCTCTCTTTTAAGCTTCATGTGGAAAATCTAGTAAAGAAACTGAAAGTTAAACTGGGTTTCTTTTTCAGAAACAGATCCTGTCTAACTCTGAATGCTAGGAAACACCTTGTATCTGTGACCTTCCTTCCCTCCATTGACTATGGTGACATTATTTACATGAATGCTCCTACAAGAACCCTGCAGATGTTGGATGCTGTCTATCACGGTGCACTAAGATTCATAACTGGCTGTGATTATCGTACCCACCACTGCACCCTGTATTCACTGGTTAACTGGTCACCATTAACTTCATGCAGACTCTCTCACTGGTACATTTTCATCTTTAAATCACTTCTTGGTCTGCTGCCTTCATACATCTCCTCCTACATGTCTCTGCGGGAGTGCAGCTACAGCGTGCGCTCTCAGGACATTATTACCTGCAGTGTTCCCTCAGTGAGAACTGAACTAGGCAAAAGGGTCTTCTCCTACTCTGCTCCTGTTTCCTGGAATATCTTACAAAAAGATCTGAAGCTCTCGACCTTGACCTCTCTAAGTGGATTTAAGAATCTGTTGGACTCCTGGCAGGGACCAATGCAGACATGTTCCTGTTTTTAGTTTTCTACACCGCCTTATAATCTAGCTGTTTTTGTTTAATTTTTAATATGATTTTCTTCCATTTATTTTTCAATTTATATGCTTTCTTTTAGGATTGTCCACTTTTGTCATCATTCTTCGTTAAAATCAGGTCTCTCTTGTAAATGAGTCCTCGAGGCTCAATGAGACTAACCTGAATAAATAAAGGTTGAATGAAAACAAACAAAACAAACAAACTATAAAACACAGTTTAAACTATGTTCTGACCTGTGTACGAGTCCAGCTGAGACGCGACACTAAACGTTGAAGCAGGTGAAACGCTTGCAGGTAAGTAGAACTGGTGAGACAGGTGGAGCACGTTCAACAACCCTGAACGTTCCAACGATGTTCCAGCAAGTCCTCCTCATAGAAACAGACAAAATGCTCCTCTCCAAACACACAACCTTCTCTTTCCAAAGCTCTCGGGCGTCTGGTTCTCCTCTGACGATGTGCAATCTGTGATGGAGAAACGTTCAATATGGAGAAACGGAGAGGAGCCGGTGTGTTCATTAGAAGACCCATGTGATGTCTGGAACTACTTTAACTCCTGGAGGAAGCGTTAAAATCTCCATGTCAAGACTCCGCTCCTGAATCTTCCTCGTATCTGTCGAAAGCAGCGCTCTGTAACATTTTCATCCCTCTCCTTCCCCTCCGAGGTTCTTTTTAATACATTTGAATGAGGGAGATAAAAGCGAGCGACGAATACAAGAGCTAAATATAGAAACGAATCAAATGAAAAGTTGCTGAAGCCTTTTCTCTTTTAGGACAGCGTTAGCAGAAGGTGACTGGATGGAGGGACGAAGCAGGGGTGATGAAGAGCCACAGGATAGAACGCACATATAATCCATGCATAATTTAGCAGGAGCTCTGCTGATGGGACTGTCGAAGGATGGAGGGGGTTACGAGGGCGGAACAGAGGTGACAGGAAGGGGCATTTAGGATTTTTAAATAGGGAGTGGGGGACGGAGTGAGGAGGCGAAAGCCTGAGCTGAGACATGGTGATAAAGCTGGAGAGGAGAGCAAGTCAAACAGAGAGGAGGAGGATAATGAGCACGGAGGACTTGATTTCTGAGCTAACCAAATTAATCTTTACAAGCTTGTTCTTGAATTTCTGAAGGACTTAGGAAGTGAGCAAATGTCTCAGGATGTGAATGTTAATTTAGACTGATGCTTCCCCTCAAGTGTCTCTCACTCGAGTCAGAGGAAAAACCACACGCTACAAACAGCAACCGTTCCAGCCTGAAGGTCCGAGATTAAAAACCCCATCCTGACATCAGCGAGGCAGCAGCTCTGAGTGGAGACCGTTCCTAGAAGCACACCTTCATT